GTGGCTCAGGACGTTCCAGAACACTAAAAATCACACTTGTTCCAGAACAAATTGCCCCGTGACTTCCAGGGAAGAGGGTGTCAGAGACGGGGTTTCCCAGCACACTGAGCCTGCCCTCTCCGTGGTTCAGGACGCGAAGGAGAATGGAACACCACAGGAGGGACCATCTCGGAACTTTGTCCACGTCCCTTTACGTCTCCTCTGTCCGCCACCATCCTTCTCAGGTAGTGCGATTGGTGACGGAGCTAAAGCCTGTGTGTGTGAGGGATGAGAGGTCTGAAGCGGGGAGTCTGTTCCTGGACATTCCACAGTCAGTAGTATCCAGAGCTTAGACCAGCTCCCAAGACACAAATGCTAGAAGGTGCCATGCTGAGGCTCCCACCTGTCATCTTAGTGACTGCGGAGGCTGAGGCAGGAGGATGGCAAGTTCAAGGCCAGCCTCAGCAACTTAGCCAGACCTTGACTCAAAATAAAAAATAAAAAGAGCTGGGGATGTGACTTAGTGGTAGAGCCACTCAGCCCCCTGGGTTCAATCCCCATAGTAAAAAAAAAAAAAAAAAAAAAAAAGAAGAAGAAAAGAAAAAGATCTAGAAGGTCACTCTCCTTCCAGGCCCCGAGCCCCTCCCAGTTCTCTCACACTGCCTCGTTTTCATGCCCCGTCCAACCTCTGTCACCCTCAGGTCCCTACAGGCAGTACCCCGTCCCCTGCTCCGACATGTTCCCAGTTTCTCCTCTTCCCTCTGACCCGAAGAGCCCCTAACAGTGGAACCCTCTGGAAGCTCGTGGGCACTCCCAGGGCCAGTGTGCAGGGATGAGGCTGATGTGTGGGTGGCCATGCCCTCTTCTCCCACTGCACCCTGGCTCCTCTTGGGCTCTTCTGTGTTAGGCGGGAACTCCAGCTCCCAGGAGGTCCCTACCTCTCGGGTCACCGTCACTATCTTATGTGAGCTGGTGTCTTGTGTGTTCGTGTCTCTCTTGGCTTGTGACTTTTCGCCCAACCCCAACACAACTTTCAAGATGCTGCCAACATTTAAAGAATGGTCCTCACCTGCGTGTCCGCAAGGTGGCTGACAGCTGCGTGGGGTGTGTGGAGAAGTCAGTGAAACTGTGGAAAGGACCTTCACACAGTAGGTGCTCACTAAACGCTGGCCTCTTTCCATTGCCTGACCTTAGTGCTGCTTGGTGGTGCATTTGCTTGTTCTTGCTAACTCTTTCCCTCCACTGGTTTCTCCCAAGCCCTCTGCTCTCTGCTCAAACCCCAGCCTCACACTGCATCCACTGCCGTGGTCCAAGCTGACCGCAGCAGCCTCACCATCCCATTCTCCTCCTGCTTCTCCTCTGCCCAGACCCTGACCTTCCCTTTGTGCTGGGGGCCTCCCTGCCTCCCACTGCTTCGCCCCTTCCTCTTCACTTCCTGTCCCTCCTGAGTGCATGCCCTCTGTGTACCTGCCTGCACCGTGTCCCCCTTCTGCTCAGGCTCCTCTCCCTGAATGTCCCCGTTGACCTTGTGCCTCTGGTTCCACCACTCTCCTTTGATTTGCAGCCAATGTCCCCCAAGGAGCGTCCCCCTCCTCACATAGATGCTACCCTGTCACTCCAATGTCTCCCAAGGAGCGCCCCCTCCTCACATAGATGCCACCCCCTTCATTCCAATGTCCCCCAAGGAGTGCTCCCTCCTCACATAGACACCACCCCCGTCATTCCTCAGCCCACGCCTCGCCCTGTGTGAGCTGCTGCTCTTGCAAATGTGCCCTTCCAAGGGCTGTACACAAGGAACCCTTTAAGATGGCTCTCCTGCTGGCGTCCTCGATGGCATTTCACTCTGGGGACGACTGCTTGGAATTCTCCTCTGGGCTTCAGGACACAGTGTCTGCTGGTGCATTCCACGCCACTTTCTGGTCTCCGTGAAAACGCTCGCCTCCCCCTCCCCTGTCCACTCTTGGCCACGTTCTGCACGACTGCCAAGTTCCAGGCTGGCGGCTCGTGTGTGTGTGTGTGTGTGTGTGTGTGTGTGTGTGTGTGTGTGTGTGTGTATGCTTGCCACGTGACAAAGGGGAGGTCCCAGTCCTCAGGGAGCACCATGTCAATGAGGTCCCCAGAGAAGCAGAACGTGAAAGAGGAGCCTGGAGTAGCTGAGCGGCAGAGCGCATGCCCAGCGGTCTTCAGCCCTGGGTTCTGTCCCCAGCCTGGAAAAACAAATAAAATGAGAGAATAACTTAAACTCCTGAAATACAGGGTGACCCCCAACCACATATGCCTTTGTTTAGACTAATCAGTGGAAAGCTCGGTTCTCGGTCAGAGCAGCTTTGTCCTGGACACTGAGCTGTCCTGGACAGCTTTGTCCTGGCTCCAGAAAAAACTCTGTGGTCTTTCAGACCTGGCCCAAGGCGACTCCTTGCTCAGCGGGTCAGGTGCTGCCTCCCTCACTGGACCTGGTGTGCCGCTGGTGACTCCAGCTTATGGACGGATTTCAGTGCAGGACTCAGAAACCACCTATTCCAAGATGGGAGGCTGCCTCCGAGGACACTCTCCTGCCCCTTCCTCTTGGCCTCCTCTCCCTCCTGTGTGCACTCTGGGACCCTGAGGATGCTCTCCCAGCCTAGCCCAGAGCTCATACTTCTCCACACCCAGCCCTCCCCGCTCCGCCCTGTCCCCAGCCCTCTGGATCCTGGCAGCCCAGTTTATTCCAACTCAGTCTAGAAATACTCACATCAGGAAATTATTTGGTTTTCTTGGTTTTCAAATCTGATTGGCACTTAATGATTATCTTTATTTATTTTTTTAAAAGATGAGGTTTTGCTATGTGCTGCTTAGGCTGGCCCCTAACTGTGCTCTCCAATGATCCTCCTGCCTCAGCCTCCCTGGTAGCTGGAACTTCAGGTGCTCACCATCATGCCCAGCAAGGGAGTTTAGAATTGAATGAGTAAAAGCAGGTTTCTGTTTTCGAGAAGACAAACCTAAAGAGAGATCACTGGGCATGAGTGATGGGATAAGGCTTCAAGAAATTTTGTGGACAACTTGGCAAAGGAAACTTAAATCCTTAGATCTCAGATGTGGACAAGGAAGGGGGATGTGGAGTTGACTGGCCATTGTAAGGTCAGCATGTTGAAGGGCCTGATGTTTGGAGCATATGGAGCAAGACCTGGCTGGAGGTATCCCAATGACTTCTGGGCAAGCTCTGAGGGTTACTTATTCAACTATTCAATGAAATACATTCAAACATGCAATCTTGCACCTGGCAAGTTTTTTTCCCCCCCCCGCAGGAGGGCAGGTACTGAAACTTCCACCACAGTCAGCTGTCTCCCATTGGCCATTGACCAACAAGAACATGTCCAAGGAAACAATGGTGTGAATCAGGATGCCTATTGGGGGAAAGAAAAGACATAGCAGTGAAGGAGCTAAGGATGAACTGTCTCAAAATATGCCACATTGGTCTGTTGCTGATTTTGAGCTGATATCATTTGAGAAAGGATAGCCTTGGAGAAGGTGACTCGGCCTGTCTGTATGCAGCAAGCCGGGAAGGCAGGGAAATGGCCTTCTTCACCAGAGCCTGTGCTTGGGCTGCAGCGGATGGGCTGGCCCAGCTCCCCAGTCCCCTGCTCTCCTCCTGGCTCTAAGCGACACCCCTGGAACTCACTGCTGCTGACTCCAGATGGCCATCTGGGCTGTCACCCCTTGCCACGAGGGTGCTTTGGTCATCTCACTGTCCTGTGAAAGTCTGCATGTACATATGAAATTAATAAAGTTTTATGCTTTGCTCTTGTTAACCAGCTCCTGTGTAAATTGGGTTCCTGGATACAGTTGAAGAACCCACCTAGGAACCATGGGGGATAGAGAGGACACTCCCTCCCTGCAGCAGCCAGGTAGAGTGTGGAGTGATAGAAGGACTCTCAGGAGAAGGGGCCACAGCAAGCTGCCTTTGCTAAGGCTCTCCTGGGACAGAAGCTCCCAGGCCCTGCCTGCCTCCTCCCAGCCTTCCATCTAACTCACATGGTGGTTGGTATTCTTCTGAAGGAGGCCCTGGGAATGAATGGGGCTAGCACAACCACCACAGCGAGGCCTCCCCAGAGCCAGAATGAGTCCACACACCGCCGCATGCATCAGGGCTAATAATAGAGAAGAGCAGTGAGGCCTGACATTATTCAGGGTCTGAGAACTCACCCAATCAGTGCTACTCAAACCTGGGCAGGGCTGCAGCACCCAGGGGAGCACAGCACTGGGCGCCTTCAGGAGGGGCAGGTGAGCACAGCACTGGACGCCTTCAGGAGGGGCAGAAGTTCTCTTGCAGAGACTGCAGAGGAAATGCCCTCCTCCAGCTATAGGAATCCTAACCTCCACGATAAGCTATAGAGCATTCACAATTATATTTTTTAGCTGTGCCTTATACCTGACACCCCAAGTCCAAACTTGCAGTAGTCACGTCCCCTTTAAGTTGCCACAGTACAATGAAGTAGTAATGCATGTACAAAAGCATGTGACATTACAGAAGTCTTTTCTCAAACTACTCAAGCCTGTTGGGACCTACCAAATTTAACTTGCCATTGATTCCTATCTCCCACTCCTCCAGCCAAGCTGTAGGAAACTGGATTCCTACCTCAGGTTGTCCTGTGCTTTCTTCTCTTCCTCACAGTGTGCAAGTAGTGACAACCTGTCCCACCACCCTGTCCTCATTGCAGCCACATGAGTCCAGGGTAGCCTGGCCTTCAAGCCAGGTCAGCAAATGCTTGAACACACTGACAGGTAACAGTGACAAGCAATGGCAGCCACATGCTGTGGGTTACAAGTACCTGCTGAGTGTCCCTTCTCTGAAATGCTTGGGACCAGAAAGTTTTCTGATTTTGGATTTAAAAAATTTGCAAATACATCACGTGGTATCTTGGGGATGGGGACCAAGTCTAGACATGAGATCCTTTTATGTTGCATACACTGTATTCACATAGCCTGAAAGCAACTTTATGCAATATTTTAAATAATTTAATGTATAAAGCACAGCTTCGCATGGAATTTTCCACTTGCAGCATCATGTTGATCCTCCAGATTTCAAATTTCTGAGCATTTGGGTTTGGGATTCCAGACCTGGGTGCTCGATCTGTATTCCAGCTCCCACCAGCAGAGTTCCAGGCCAACATCAGGCCCAAGAGACACCCACCTCAGTTCTGAAATCTCATTGGTGAGAGTCTGTTTCCTCGAGGCCAATCTGCCATCAGTCCTGGTCCTGGCAAGAAAACAGAAATAGCCCTAAGCATTTCAACAGAGAGAACTCGACCCAAGAAATCGGTTAAGCAGGTAAAAAGGCAAAGGCAGGAAACCGAGGCCGTGAAGATAGCAGTGGAACCAGTTCCTGCCATCACCAACCTCAGGGCAGAGGTTGGGAGGATGGTGCCTGGAGCTGAGAGCAGAGCCCACAGAGGACGCTGCTGAGCCGGCGGGCAGGCGCAGGCGAGGTCCTCCAGGAAGAGTGCTGCTGGCTGGTGCCACACGTCCACAGGGCACAGCGAGGTGGGCCAGGCGTGCTGATGAGGACAAGGGCAAGCAGGTCCCTTGGGCTCCAGATGCCCTGTCATCTTTGTGCTGCTCTCCCACTGCTGTCCCTGCTGCCTGTCCCTAGCAGAAGCCATTGGCATAGGGGAACTGCGTGTTCAGTCAGCCTCAGCAGCAAGCTGTGGAGCAGAGGAGGGTGGCACTGAGCTCAAAGACCATGGCTTACGATCCTTCAAGCATGGCCTCTGGGGTCCTATGGGCCTCGCTGCCCACCAGTCCTGCAGCCCCTCATGTGAGACAAGCTTCGTGCCCTCTCTGCAAGTGGGAGGGGTGAAGTTCTCTTTCCTTATGATCCAACGCACCTGCTCAGGTGACTGAAAGCCAGGGACCAGCCAGGCATGGTGGAGCACCCCTGTAATCCTAGGGGCTCAGGAGGCCGAGGCAGGAAGATCTCAAGTTCAAGGCCAGCCTCAGCAACAGTGAGGCACTAAGCAAGTCCCTTATAAAAATGTTGCCCTATTGCACGGAACCCCCACGCATCCCTCTGTGTACTTAATACAGGGGCCCACATGTCACCACCTTTCCATGGGCTCAGCCTGGTCCTTGGAGCACGACAAACTCAAGTTTTGCTTTTTGGAACTTTATGAGTCTTGTGAGGGCCCAGGCTGGTCTTGAACTCCTGGACTGAAGCAATCCTCCTGCCTCAGCCTCCAAAGTAGCTGGGATCACAGGTCGACGCCACACTTGGCTTGGAATTCTTTTTTTCCCAGTACTGGGGACTGAACCGGGGGTGCTCTAGAACTCCACTACTGAGCTATATCCTCAGTCCTTTTTACTCTTTATTATGAGATAGGATCTAATACACTGCCCAGGCTGGCCTTGAATTGCCATTCTCCTCCTCAGCCTCCAGAGTCACTGGGATTACAGGTGTGAACCACCACACCTGCTTGGCTTAGAATTCTTTTAAAAGGTATTTTCTATTCACAGTTGGTTGAATCCATGAAGGCAGGTATGGAGGGTCAAATGTACTTTGGCTGGCACTTGTAGGTACTTCGAAACATTTTGTTGGGTGGCTGGGGTTGTGGCTCCATGGTAGAGCGCTTGCCTAGCATGTGTGAGGCACTGGGTTCGATTCTGTGCACCACATGTCAATAAATAAATAAAGGGTAAATTGACAACTAAAAAAAAATATTTAAAAATTTGGTTGGATGAAGGAAAATGTCTTAAGTGTTTGTCAAGTTTGGTAGTAATATTCTAATTTTAAGAGATCACATATAAGTTATAGACAAATGAAAAGTTTTTAATGGGAGTTGAAGCATCCTGGGCTTAAATCTTTTAAGAATCCCTGATCTACAGAAAACTGTAAGCTAATAGAACTTCCATTTACAATCAAATGCTTGTCATTTACTCTCTGGTAGTCTAAAATCCTCCATCTCCACAAAATAGTTTTTTGTCTAATGTAGGTAAATATCTGTGGCCTGAGGATAGGAGGTGTTTTGTTTGTTTGTTTATTAGGGAGGGGTCTTGCCTTGATGCCCAGGCAAGCCTAAACTCTCACTCACCCCCCCACCACCCCCCCTCGAGACTGCAGAGGGGGCCTGTGGCCTCGGGGCCCAGCATAGAAGGCGTTTGTAAAGTGGGGAGTGTTATTCATGTTTTCTTTGAAAGATGGCTGTTCTTTTAGTAAGAATGGGAGAAGTAGCAAAACCACACTGTCCCCTCCCAGGAACACAAGCCATTCGACAGGAAGACACTCCTCCTTCCTCGACAGGCATCTTCTCCTGGTCAGGGGAAGCCAACAGGTAGCCGGGGTCTCTGGCTCCAAGGTGCCCAGTGACAACCTCAGAAGCTAAGATGGTGCCGGTCTGATACTGATCTGAGAGGCGCGTGAATCAAGGGCCGCGGAAGTGAGCTTGCCCAGCATGGTCAAGGCCCTGGTTTCCATCCACAGCACGGACAGGAAGGAGACCAGGGAAGGGGAAGAAAGCAGGGGAGGGGTGGGTGTGGGGGGGGGACACCCACAGGGGACAAGAGGGCCGGGTAGCGTGGGGCTTCTTCTGAATAGTGGAGGAGAGAACAGAATGCTTCCCTGTTCCAGGTGGAGCAGGCAGGGATGGAGCTGGTGGGTTTGGAGCCTGATGGCGTCTGACCGTGGTTGTGGGGGTGGGCAGGACCACCACCCACAGCCTGTTCTCTGGTCCATAATTCCCAGCTGGGCTCTGGTCTGCCTACTGGGACATTTACACCACCGTGAATGGTGCAAATGACTCCTGAGGTTTTCATTCCGCTGAGCTTATTTCACATACAAAATTGGTCTTAGAACAATGTTCTTTCTACATTTTGGCATTAAAATATCATTTTTTTTAAATAAATTGACTGTGATGAGAAATGACAGTTTTGTTTTGTTTTTCTTCCTCTCACTTAGATGTACAAATAGTTGATACACCTATGCAGGCAGCCACCTAAACAAAAATAAAAAATCAAAAAAATATCCCTTTTTGAGACCCTGTTGGTGTGTGGAAGCTGGAAGTCTGGGAAGCAGTGTGTTGGTCAGCTTTCCATTCCTATGACAAAATACCTGAGGTAACCCACCAACAAGAGGAAAGATTCACTTCAGCTCACAGTTTGGAGGCTTCAGTCCAAGTCCATTGTCCCTATTTCTTTGGGGGGTTGTGACAAGACAGTGCGGCATGGCGGGAGCAAGTGGCAGATGAAGCTCCTCACTTTGTGGAAGCTCCTCACTTCAGTAAAGAATGAAAGGAAGGGGTCCCAAGGTCCCCTTCAAGGCACAACCCCAATGACCTCACTTCCTCCATGAAGCCCCACTTCCTAAGGTCTCCACCACCTCCAGACAGTGCCACAGGCTGGGGACCGAGCCTTTAGCTGGCCTTTATGCACAGTGATGAAGTCCCCGGGGGCTCCTCCCACAAGACATGGTGAGCCAAGGAGAGGAGAGTTGGGGGACAGGACATCAACAGAGAACAGCACTCCATCTTTTCCCAGGTAAGAGTTAACAACAGGGGCTGGGGATGTGGCTCAAGCGGTAGCGCGCTCGCTTGGCATGCGTGCGGCCCGGGTTCGATCCTCAGCACCACGTACCAACAAAGATGTTGTGTCCACCGAAAACTAAAAAATAAATATTAAAAATTAAAAAAAAAAAAAGAGTTAACAGCAAAGTCATTGGTGAGAATCCCCAGGACTTCTGAGATCACCCAGCTCTTCTAAGTAGCGATCAGAGAACTTTCTCTCGGATTATGCCCTTTTAGAAGGAAAAAACAAAGGGCTGCTTTGTACATTCCCAAAATTGCATTAATCTGGAAAAAAGAAATCACTTGGTCCTTAGGTGAACTGAGCCCTGACCTTTGCATGGCTTGAGCAACTGGGTTTTATGCACTTCTCTGAACCTGTGGCTCAAGAGCGGTTGGTCGTGTGTGCACCGGGGAGAGGGTGCTTTGCTCTGAAGAGGACCTGAGAGCTGGTGTTTTCAATTTCATTTGTGTTTTTGTTTTTGTTCTGTGAGGTGGAGTCTCACTGTGGCCCAGGCTGGCCTTGAACTTGTGGATCCAACCTGAGCTTCCCTCTTCCCCACAGGCACATACCACTTGAAATTACCATAACGAGCTAAAATTATAAATTCAAAGACCTAACGTTTTCTCTTTCTTGGTTTCTAATTTTTTTTCTTTCTTTGGCAGTGCTGGGGATGCAGCGGGGCTTCATTCATGCCAGGGAAGTGCTCAACCACCAAGCCACATCCCAGCCTCCCAAACCTGCTGTTCTTAAACCCTTGTGTTCACTTCATAAATCTTATTAATCTATTCAACAACCCAATTCTGTTAGTAAGTCAAAAGATTTAGCTTCCCCTTATTCTTTAATCAATGCTCAATTTGTGCATAAATTGGACAGGTTAAATTCTCTCCCAAGCATACTATTTCCAAACTTGGTTGAATTGCCTTGGACATTTCAATGATGAGTGTGATGCCTGATTTCTTTCAAGCATTCCAAATACACAACTAGGTGCTTTCATAATTTGCAAAGACAAAATCTCCCTGAGTATTTAAGTGGCTCGTGTGCTTAAGAAGGCTGACTTAGAACCCTAGAGAACCCGGTTCTCCTTGCCAATCCAACATCACAATCTCAACCGAAGCCCACAAACCACGGAATTCTAAAACCTGTCACGACAATGACAGAGCGTCAAAAACATTCTCAGCAACTGAGAGACAAATCTCTTATTCCAGGTCCTCGGTCTGGGTCGGAGGCTGGAAAGCTGGGCCTGAGTGAGAGGCTTGGCTTAGTCTGGCATCTCAGGATTGGAGACAAGGCTCCCTGCTACCTCATTTCTTTGCCTTGGTTGATTTCTTTGCTGTCAATATTTTTTTAGGGGGAGTGGGGTACCAGGGATTGAACTCAGGGGCACTCAACCACTGAGCCACATCCCAGCCCTATTTTGTATTTTATTTAGAGATAGGGTCTCACTGAGTGCTTAGCACCTGGCCGTGGCTGAGGCTGGCTTTGAACTCAGATCCTCCTGCCTCAGCCTCCGAGCCACTGGGACTGCAGGCTCACCACCTCACCTGCCAGATTTAGACTCAGTTTCAGAGGTTTTAATTTGGTCACTTGGTTCCTTTATTCTGGGCCTGTGGTGAGGTGGCACATCCAGGCTCGAGCTCGCAAGGAGCGGGTCTCATGACAGTTGAGAGGGAGAGGCGGAGAGGGCCCAGGGACTGGACACCCCTCCAGCGCCCGCACACCCAAGGTCGCCCTTGTGGTAACTGGGCCACCGCCTACAGTTCCCACCACCTCCCCGGAGTCCTTATCACCGGACCAATCCCCTGGGAGATCAGAGCCCTCAGACCAATGCCCTGTTCGGGGGATCCAGCCTCCAACACGGGAGTCTGGGAGTCTGGGGCACTCCAGATCCCAGCCCCTCACTTCAGTTGTCCGGCTGGATGTGACTGGTACGCAGCGGGCTTAGCACGGCGCCTCGTGTTCTCAAGCTGATCTTGGAAATGTCTGCATGGCTTTGCTTCACCCTCCTTAGTCTGCTGGTCCCTAGGAGGTCACAAGTGACTCGTGCCTTTTTTGCAGAATGGTTAATTTCTTTCTTGAATTATTGTCATGCAGCCACGGGAGCTGGCTTCTGGGGAGTCTTGGAATGCCCTCTGCTTTTCGTGACAAGTAAGTGTGTCACGATGGCTGTGACTCCTCTCAAGACACAGGATCAGATGCTGAAGGGCCAGCAGCCCAGGGACCCTGGGGAGGTGACACTGATGAGAGGACTTTAGGTAGCACCATGTGCTGTGATGTGTCCACAGAGGTTCCTGTGTTGGGGGCGTGGTCCCCAAGGTAGTGGGTGTGGGTGGGCAGTCAGCCCTCAGGACCTGTCCAGAGGCAGTGGTACCTTGAAGGGGTGAGGCCTGTGGGAGGAGTGTCCTCCTGGTCCTTAGGAGGCAGAGACCCATCTCAGGGAGTGGGTTTGCTCACCTAGAGAGAGGGTTAGGTTGTAAACAAAGTGAGTTTAACCAGGTGCAGGGGCAAGTGCCTGAAACCCTACAACCCAGGAGGCTGAGGCAGGAGGATCTCAAGTTCAAGGCCAGCCTGGGAAACATAGTGAGTCCCTTCTCAAATGTTCTGCTTTCTCCGCTGGTTCTCCTGCTCCTTCTTACCAGGTGAGCTTTCTCACCACATGGTGCTATCAGCCATCACCAGAAGCTGCTATCAGGGCCATGCTCTTGGACCTTCAGGACTGTGCCTAAATGAAACCTTTTGCTTTATAAAGTACTCTCAGGTATTTTGTCACAGCCATACAAAATGGAGTAAGACATGAGTTTGCATTTATGGATCTGTTAAGCCTCCATCTTAACTCAATACTCTTTTGGTTGAAAACAATCCTATTCTATAATAAAATCTTCACTTGTTTCCCTCTTTCTGATCTACCACTTCCTTCTTCTCTGACATAGCCATGCCCTCTTGCCATGTGTGAAGTGCCATCCTGTGTTATTTTCCCCAACTATTTGATTGAATCACACTGTTTGTCTAGCATTTTTCTGACTTTTCTGTCATGCAAAATGCACCTATTTAGATCTTAGAGTCTAAGCAGCACAATCTCACCTGGTTATAATTACAGCTCCATTTTCTCCTAAAATCCTTTTTTTTTTTTTTAACAGTAGTTTTCTGGATCCATTTGAGCATTTGAGGTCAGCACTGCGGTTTATAGTGTTCAATCTGCAAGACTGACAAAGAAAATATCCTTCAGTACTTCGCATGACATTCGAAGCTGTATGCTGCTTGGTGAACAGAAGCAGTGAACATAATGGTAATCAATACTACTTTACCACCAAACTACGCTTTGATGTTTGTCTTCTAGGGTTTGAGATTGTAATAATCAGTGCTCAGGAGGACAGAAGAGGGACAGGCAGCCAAGGGCCTTCAGTCACTCAGGACATTAGTTCACAAGCATGTGCCTCTTACTGTGCCACGTCAGCACCTCCCCCCAACCCCCCCCCCAATCGTGCTCCAGTGCCAGGACACAGGGTGTGTGGGTGGGCAGTCAGCCCTCAGGACCTGCAGGGGACCCTGACCTGCTGTGTGCTCTCCACTGTTGCACTACACAGCAGAGCGATTCAAGCGGAGAACAAAATATCTGCCTGGAAAGGCACAGTAGGCAGAGTGCTGAATTGCTGTGGATGATTTTCTATTAAAACAGCTGTTGCAGAGGCATGCTCCTGGAATCCCACCTGCTAGGGAGGTTGAGGCAGGAGGATCACAAGTTCAAGGCTAACCTGGGCAGCTTAGTGAGACCCCATCTCAAAAATAAAATTAAAGGGCTGGAGGTGTAGGTCAATGGCAGAGTTGCCAGCCTAGAACGTGCAAGGCCCTGAGTTCAATGCCCAGAAATAGAAAAAGGGAAGAAAAAAAAACCTAAATGTCACCCTTCTGGCCTTTGCTGGCCTCTTAGGCAGAATGCGCTGAATGCCCCTATCTAAGATGCCAGGGGTGGAGGGCAGGTTGCTGGGAGGGGAGCTGTTGTCTGTTGGTCCAAGCACAGGCCTGACCCCACCTGTGCCTTCAGGACAGGACAAACTGCGCTGCTCCTCCCCCATAGCTTCAGTCTTGAAAACTTTTTTATTGAAGCACATGTGCGTTCAGAAGAGCACATATAACCTTAACATAAAACTCATCGAATTGGCCACAAATTGAATGTATCTATGCAATCGGAGCCACATTAAAATGCAAGGTTTCATTTTAATAATATGAATAATAATTTTGCACAGGACATGAATGCAGAAGACAAAAAGAGCGTTGTACAAATTAGTCTCCCTCCCACTCCTTTCTCCAGCCACCCAGTTCTTGCTAGAGATCAAAGCATCGTTAGTGGTTCCTTAATCGGTGGGTTTTTAAACAGACGGGCTTTTAGACACCTGCAAGATCCTGGCTGCGGTGTGCGCCTGGATGACGCTGGCGCGGTCTTTGTGAGCCAGAGCTGCTCAGCGGGGCGACTGTTCTGGGCAGGACCCGGCACCGTGGTCCACGCCGGCAGCTGGCGCGGCCTGGCTGGGACAACAGCCTCTCCTGGCTGTGGGAGAAGCCAGCACAGACCCAGGAGTTCAGAAGCGAGCCCTCGGGGCGCTCGGCCGCCACCAAGGAAGGTCCCGGCGGATGCCGGCCCGCTGGCTGGCGCCTGGCCAGGTCAGTCCTGGGAAAAGGGACAGAGGAACCTCGAGGGGCAGCCTGTCCCCGCGACGCCGGCAGGAGGCAGCACGTCAGGCTGGGCGTGGAGCCCAGGGCCCCGGCAGGCTCTCGCGGGTCCCTGGAACGCTGTGCGCTGTAGGTCCCGCCCGCCCGCGCCCAGGCGCGCAGCCTTGGTGGCCAGGCCCTGCGCCTGTGCAGTGCGGGAATTTCCAGGAGAGATCCAAAAATAGCCCAGCGTGGGTGTGAAGGGCCGCAGCAGTTGGTGAGGTGCAGCACCTGCTCAGTCCAAGCCCCAGCACCGAGCCTGGGCGGGAGGCCGGCCGCGCCTCTAAACCCGCAAATACGGCCTCCTGGAAGTGGGGCAAAGGTCTCCGCGGAAACCTGTGGCGGGGTGTTCAATGGGTAATTTCTTTCCTTTGAAGAGGGTACACTTGTAACCGATTCATTTTTTTTTTTTTTGTAGTTGTAGATGGAGAGAATGTCATTTTTTTTTAAAATTTGTTTATTGGTGAAGGCAGTCCTGCACCCACTATCTGACAGGATCACAGTGTGGGGGATGCTGGGGCAAGGCTGCACCATCTGGAAACTGGAACCATTAGGAATGTTAAGTGTTTTGTTTGTGATACTTATGATATGGATAACAGGGCATATGTCAATCAACAATAAAAGTAAGTATTGCCTGAGATTGCAGGAAAATTCCCAGAATGAGACTAAGGATTCAATGGAGACATGCCATGAGGTGCGTTTCAGTATCTCTCAGGATACAAACAATAGTGTCATTCCTCAAGCCTGAGCAACAAGAAATATTGATCCCATGGTTAACAATTTACACTAGCCACCCCCCCCCACACACACACAACCCCATCCTAAAGCCACAACCTGTATAATAGCCTAGCTACAGAAAAACAATTGCTGTGCCAACAGTACAAGGATCATTCTATGTAGCTTATGGACAAGAGGCTAACGAAAATACATTCCTCAACCAATAGACCCTCCTTTGCTTTATGTAGAAACTTATGATGAAAATGGAAAACACATAGTTAATATAAATGACAAATGAGTTGAGGTGTAAAGCCTGCCCTTCAGTTGAAGATTACAAAGACATAAGAATTGATGTGCTTTGACCAAGGATCAAGGAAGTTCTTTAAGAGAGCAATTGAGGGCTGGGGATGTGGCTCAAGTGGTAGCGCGCTTGCCTGGCATGCGTGCGGCCCAGGTTCGATCCTCAGCACCACATACCAACAAAGATGTTGTGTCTGCCGAGAACTATAAAATAAATATTAAAAATTCTCTCTCTCTCACTCTCTCTTAAAAAAAAGCAATTGAATGAAAAAAGGAAATTACCTTGGACATTAAAAATAGAATAATTTTAAAATTAACATAGATATATTTTAGAGGCACTTCAGAATAGTAGGCTTTTAAATACTAGACTTTCACTACTTTAAGTATGTTTTACAGGGATTTTAGTTTAGAAGTAAGAAAGCTTACCAATAATCATAAATATGCTTTAAAGTTAAAGGTTAATGAAATAATTATAGGTATGCTTTAAAGTTAGAAGTGAATAACAGGGGCTGGGGATGTGGCTCAAGCGGTAGCGCGCTCGCCTGGCATGCGAGTCATGTAGTCTAGTTGCATCGCCTAGTACCTAGTGATTGAGGTAAAAATGTAAAAGCTTAATCATGATTGTCTAAGGTTGCAGAAAAATATTTTGAACAATGTACTCAATATCTTAGGTAATCAATGTATGTTAGAAAAGATTGTAATTCTTGAAAGTTATGTAAATCAAAAAAGTTTTGGGCTTTGAAGCTATCCATTAACTACCTGAAAAAAACACCTGTAAAAAAGGTATAAAAATAAAAGTCCCTCCAGGGTCAATGAGATGTCTTCTTGAGGTTGCTCATAACTTGTAACCTGTCATCCTGACTCTTCTTCTTTCACTGATGCCACTCCTCCTTCAGGAACACCCTGGACCCTCACCTCTCCCCCTGCTGGGGCTGGACCTCG